AAAAAAAATGACGGATGTTGCTCGATCGAGTCTTTTCCTAGAAAATTCGTTTGTTGTTTATCATATTTTCATAATTGCGATCCGAAATCTTCTCGGACGTTAACTGCTTTTCTTCAGACACGCGTCGACGTACGAGGCGTTCACAACAAAATATTCAATTTTCCCACTTTCTTTTCGGGCAATATTCGCGGCGTGATTTTACAATTTTCGCACATCGCCGTCCAATGGTTAATTTCTTCCATGCTCTTCTGAAACTCTTTTGAAACTGTTCTCCACGGAAAGCGGTACTGTCCAGCAGTGGTCTTGGCCCACCATATTGTTAATGTATCTATTGTAAATGTTTGTATGTAATGTAAAATGTATCTTTGCTTGAAAAGGCGACATATCCTAAGTTATAGAGTTCTGAGGCGAGAAAGAGAACGAGATGTAAGGTGCGATTCAGCCTGACTTGTCCACAACATTTCGCGCCCATTTTCTTCTTTCCCGTCTGTCCATCTTATTATACCCGTTGAACAACAACGCTCAAGTGTCCCTGGATTTCAGACAATGAAAACGATGATCATCTCTTTGTGACTTCGTTTTTCTTTCTCTTTTCTCTCTCTCTCTCTCTCTCTCTCTCTCTCTCTCTCTCTCTCTCTTTCTTTCTCTCTTTGTGCAATGAAAAGACGACGAGATGGAAGAGACTTGGGCGGTGAGAAAGGCGTTCAGGGCTTGCCACGTACGTTTATGTACACATATACATAATATATTGTATAAGTAATTGCAACTACTATGAACCATTATATGCGACATTGAAATTTGTATATCATGGATGAATTAAAAGAGGAGAATAATCCTGAATAAGATCTTGCCAGCCAGTTATTCTATTAGCAATTCGTGATGCAATCACTAACCTGATCTCGTGTGTTTATTTTGGGGAAACAGGTATGTGCCAATAAAGCATGCTCCCGTCGATTTTTTTCGTATATGGTTAGCGAACGAAACAGTTGTTAGAGATGTGTCGTAATGATTAATAATTGTTTGCATGTTCTAGTTTCTAGCGTGGTAGTTTCTACGTGATCGTAAATTTGAAAATGATCGCATGGAAAAATGGTGAAGAAGTGGTGCAGCGTAGTTGTAAATTCTTTTGTAGGTGGCTGCTCGTGGCTAAAGCGAAGTCGTAGCTCGTAACCTGACCGAGGTAACCCGGAAAGCTGGTTGTGCGAAAACTTGCAAAAATTTCAAGCGTTTCTTTAGCTTCAGCGTTGAGCATTCCGTAGGCAAGAGAGCAGAGATGCTCTCGCTTACTACAAAACGCTTCAAACACAAAATTACCATCGTGGTTTACTTGATGACTTGACTTCCAAAGTGAATTTAACACGCATGTTTAACACGTACATATATATATATATATATATTTTTTTCTTTTTTTTTTTTTTTGTTCTTTAGACTGTATCGTTAGAAATTCGCACATTGTTGGAAATCAGTTTATTACTAGTAATCCCTAGCATTGTTAACCGACTGTTGGCTACATGGTTGATAAATACATGGCGTTGGCCCAAGGATGCATTAATTGCCATTGTCAAGGGCGGATTCAGGACGTTCATTTGCAATAAACTTCGGCGAGAATTAAATGCTAATGAAGGGATTTGGGAAGATTTGAGAGTAACAAAGACCCAGTGGGCCGGGAGGGGGGGGGGGGGCGCCGGTGCAAGAGGTGGAACTGTTAAAAGTTAACAGAGAAATAGATTTTAATTTAACTTTCGCGTATACGGGAAGTTTTCTGCTTGCAGTTCATGCATAATTCAGTGAAGTTTAATGCGAACTCGGGCAAGGGCCCTGTAACACCAGCATTTGAATAATTAAAATATTTAGCAGTACGCCTAGTAAAACAATATCGTCTAATAGGTCTGGTTAACGGCGGTCTTATGCATACGTACAAACCTATGCATATCAATGATTTCCGGCTCTCTTCTTCGTGTCGTCGTCATCGGCTAAAACTCATTTTAGAAACTTTACGCTCTCTCTTTCTCTTTCCCTCCCTCCCTCCCTCTCTCTCTCTCTCTCTCTCTCTCTCTCTCACTCACTCTCTTTCTTTTTCTTTGGTACCTTACGCGAGGGGTCAAATCGACGAGATTGTATCTAGAATATTTCTTTCCAGATAAGACATTTGTTTCCAAAGTGTTTGTTCACACTCGTTGCCTCGTAAATTTATCGTGTCACACGGATCGTTGATCTTACGCTTTAGCAAGAGGTTGTGAACGTTGTAAACCGGGTTTACCATCTTGCACGACTTTGCATGCGAGTTTAGACTGCACGTTTAGACGAATATTGTATCATAGTGCGCACGTATTTGTATATATATATATTGTTATTATCTCAGATTGTACGACTTGCATGTCAACGTGATAACAGTAAACGATTCGAAGTTTCGAAGATAATACTTTGCGTTCAGAGATTTTGTACTTGACGAGTTGCACGTTACATGTAACTAATCCTCGTTTACAAACAATGTTACAAATAACCGACAACCGAAGGGAAGTACAGCGATTCCCGAGATAACGCGAGTTGAATCCAGCTTTGTATTAATTTTCTCGTTTCTTGTCTCAGCTAACAGTAAGAATGGTTGTCGCTGAAATGTTCCTGTCAGAACTGATAAAAGTGACTTGCGTTGAAATTTCTACATTGCGTTTTTCTTCCTTGTTTTGCACGCGTGTCTTCTCGAAAGTACATACATTCCGCGAGTTAATAAAATATCTCTTTCAACGGAGGACGATTAGAGAAAAAAATTGGAGAAAGCGGGAGACTCATACGGTTCACGATTGCATGTGTGGTAGCATAGAAGAAAAAAGAAAAAAAATCATCAATTTCACTGGAGAGAACTCTGCGGGGGGTGATTTGTAATTTGAGAGAAAGAAGCGAGTAGTAACCCTGTCCGTGGAAAAATCACACCGCGATCGCTTATCCCGAGGAGATCAAAAATTGAATTCTCTTCTAGACGGAGCTAAAAAGAAAAAGAAAAAAAGAAAAAAAGAAAAAAAGAACGATCAACTTGTTCCAAAGTGTCACGTGTCGCTTTATCCCTCTACTCCATAGCAGGTTCTGAAAACGTATTTAGGTACTTGGGGCTCTCCGTGGGCGAGTTGCGGCGCGGATTTTCTCAGACCAGCCAACCACCATCACCAACCACATCCACATCCACAACCACACACGTACAACCAATCAAAATAAAAAATAAAAAAAAATAAAAAGTAAATAAAGACCTATCCCTGATAGCTTCACCAGCACGGTGAGTCTTACTTCTCTATCGTTCTATAATTCTCGTTCCTATTTTCTATCCTCTGTCAATAATTGCTCTGCTTTCGAATCAAGTGTCTCGAATCGTGGGCATTACAACATTAAATCGCAAACAATAAATTAATCTCACTTGTCGTCGCTCGGCAGTCGAACCTTCGCCAATCTTTCCTCGACGTTTCGAAACTTTTGTCGAGACCTTTCGTTCCGCATTATCTATTTACTCGATACTTCGCTCCATTTGCCACGATTCGATCTACCTCGATTCGTTGAACTTTCTCTTTTCTGCTAGAAGCCGTATATAATTAACAATGCTGCTTCTTTTTTCCATTGTTTTCTCGCTCTGTGTATGGTTTTTGAATTTGCTTGCGACAATATCTTTTTTTTTTTTTCCTTTCGCTTTGTAGCTTGTTGAATCATGAACGAAGTGCAATAGTGTAAAAAAAAATATATTTAAACGCACATCTTTATAGAAATATATCTAGATACAGATTTTCGAATTTTTGGGCGTTTATTTTGTATTTAAATATTTTCAACAGCGCGGCGTCCAATCGAAAATATAAAAGTCACGAGTACTTTTTTTTTTTTTTTTTTTTCTTTTTTTTTTTTTTTTTTGTTTCATTTCAGTCGCGCGTTCAAACGTTTTCTCCGTCAAAGTTCAATCGCCAGATTGCGTAGTATATTGTATACGCTTCAGCATGCACTCTGACCCTTTACATTATTTTATACGTTTTACATTCGAATGGTAAAATTAATAATTTGTAATTTGATCATCTGTGCTTAATTTTTTAAATGATAACGCAAACATAATAATATGTATTCAGTAAGTGTCAAGAAGTAGATTTACATTAGGGCTGGGCGAATCCGGATTCTCTGTGAATGTTCAGAGTACGATGTTTGAAAAGAATCAGAAAATTCGTTCACTGACTGAGACCAGTTTTTAATTCGCCAAGGCCTGATACATAGTGAAATTGTTTATTTACCATTATATAATATAAATCATATGGCTTGTCGCACAAATATATTTATATATTATATACATGTACTTAGATTGTAAAGAGAATTTATATTTAAATTAGAAAAATATATCGAAGCAAAAAACACGAAACAACACACAAGAGACATAAAAATATCCACGAGCAACATATGGATGACAAATTGAACTCTTATTGAGCAAATTTTGATGAAAACGAGGACAATGGTACCTTGAAAGGAATCAAATACCCTCTCGGTTTCAATCGCCATTAATTCTAACGGTAACTCACTGTCAGATTTCTCGGTTGATTTATTGGTATTCCAACCATACCACTTCGTGCATATCCATGATGCATTCGTGCTCCGTTCGACGAGCACGTTGCTTGAAAATTCAAATTACACGAGTAATGATTGCAAGTCGCTCGTCGCCAGATTCAATATCGATCGGCTGGCGCTTCTTCGCGAGACGACAGAAGAAACGAAGATCGAAGCGAAATTAAAATTAAAAAATCAATCGTCAATTAAGATCGAGGCGAATTCAATTCAAACAACAGCGACGAATTCCAGTGATTCAGAGAGTGATGCATATATTGTCATCTGTATAGAAAGAACAAACGAAAGACACACACGTATCGAATCTCTCTCTCTCTCTCTCTGTCTCCCTCTCTCTCACAGACACACACAGACATATATATACACACACACTGAATCGAAGAAGAGAAGATGGTGAATGGCCGTGTGTAATTTTTCAGAGTGTAAGCTGGACTGGTACTACCACGACGGAGTCTGCGTGTACAAGTGTCCGAGCGGAACATACGGCGTTTCCGACGAGTCAAAGGCAGTCTGCTCCGACTGCCATTACTCCTGCCTAACATGCTCGGGACCTTCGAACACCGAGTGCGTCAGTTGTCACGGGGATGCCGAACTTTCCACGAATCTCGGTGAGCCTGTGTGCGTGCTGCGCGAGCTCTCCTGGACGATGCGCTCGACCCTGTGGTTCTACCAGATGACCGTTTTGTTCTCGATCAACGTCGTCGTATTCGGCTTGATAATTCTGTACATGGTGGCCAAGTGGTATCTGCGAAGGAGGAGCGCCTCGGAGGTCTACGGTTACAGCAAAGTCTCGTACACGAACGACGTGAACGCGTGCAAGGATGGCTCGCAGGAGGACGCTTGCCTGTCCGACAGTGAATGAAGAAAAATCCATCATCTATCCTCTGTTAAGAAGGGGAGGTGACAAAAGATGGATACACTTTTGCGAATAACGAGAGGAGACGATTATATAATAGAGTAAATGTGATTTTTCGACGGCCTGTTAACAGTATTTTAAGCTGAGGGACTTCACATTATTTAGGAGGATCCCGATACTTCTATCTGACACGTTCCAATTGAGCGGCGAGTTGATCTCGTCGCGGATCCGAAATTGGAGTGATGCGTTTGTCAACGAGAAGATGTATCGTACCGAGTATCAGAGGAGGAGAAAGAAAAAAAGGAAGAACCTCGTCGGAAAGTAAATTAGGATAGAATTAATATTTAAACGAATCGAATCATTCCAGACACACGCCAGTGTGTGTGTGTGTGTGTGTGTGTGTGTGTGTGTATGTGTGTGCGAGCCTGCCTGTGTGTGTGTGTGTGTGTGTAAGTCAAGAATTTTTCCAAATTTAAATGGCCTGGAATTCAAGTTTGATACCCGAGTCGCTCGAAATCTTGATCGAGTCATGATTAATCGCGACGAAGATAATGCAAATACGCTTACTGAGTCTGGATTCTCAGCTAATCAACGGGGTTCATAATAATTGAACGCGCAATTTTCAATCATCGTTGTGGGAATGAATTAAATTACACACCGTCGAGTGTATCTTGGCGCTCTTCGATAATGAAAATTAAAATTGCATTATATTGCTAACCGAGAAACACAATTTGCTGGCCCGAGTTCCTAACTATATAGAGCGCATTGTAATTTATACACCAGTGAAATTACCGTGTGATACTACTTGATACGCGAATGGAGACATAACGAAGTGTAATAATAACATTTCCTGACGACCAAAGACTTTAAACGACGTTATTATCAAGTTAGAGCGATTTCTCTGATGTATATATAAATCAAAGGAATATTAAGAACAGTAAGATTAATTAATTAAAGATCGTAACGTAAGTTCACCATAAATTTGAGATGGAGACCACCATCGTTCCATAGAAATGAAAAGATTATACATTGAAACAAAAAGGATTTACCTTTTAATGTACAGACACAAATAAAACATTCAACAGCAATTTCCACTCACAGTTGAGCATAATTGACATCCCATTGAAACACATTCTTTGCACCTTGTCCCATTAAATCTTCGCTTTTTCAAAAATAAATGACCGCCTGAATTTTTATTTGCAGCTTAATCACGGAACGACCGATATCGCAACAAGTTATATCGATAACACAGCCACACAACCGCAACGATAACACACAACGATACAGGCGATACTTTAGCGTAACGTAACTGCACACATTCAACATTAAATTGAATAGAAACAAAATTGGTTCGTTTAGAAAATGTTGTTTCAAACATAAAAGGTAGCCCTTCTTATTCTCCCTAATTCTCCCTAATTTTCCAAGGTTCGCCGTAACGATGGAAAATGTATCACAGCCGCGTGGACGTGCATAGTTCAATGGCCTAATGATCAATAACGAATTCAATACACGGGAAACACGTCGTTATAACATCGTATCCGCGTTTCAGACCCCGCCGATGACAGACGAACAAGCGGTCAAACTAATTGACGATAATTAGCAAACTGTTGCCAGTGACCGTCTCGGTATAACCAAACTCTTGCTTGCACATTGTAAACCACGAACATTACCAACGATCTATCCTGTATAAATTATTTACAAAACACGCGAATTAATCATGAATTTACGTTTAAATTTTATTTCAATTTTTGCTTGTACTTTAAAATCTGTTTGCTTGTTAATTTTTAATGTCACTTCATTGTTGCGCAATCACACAGTAGTGTGTACGTATGAACAAAGTGTATATCGCGCGTCTGACCATGCACGGAGCTCTTTCACTGCCACCCGGGACCCGGTCAATTGCTACTCATCCTGACGACGAATGATTTCAACCGATTTTCGTTGCTTCGACAGTTGTGACGTTGAAGCAGCAAACGACGTAAGTATCAGAGACGATTACGTTATCAATCTCTTGCACTGGAACGACATGCCACGCACGTCGAGAATTTTTCGTCCCAAATTGCAACATTTTCTCAGTATATTTATATACCTAAAACTGAGAAAATATATTATAGGTATATTATACTTGGTATATTTACTGTAGTATAGTTTACTTAGTATATTTACTTAGTATACTTTACTAAGTATATTTACTTAGTATATTTATCATACTGAATATACTGAGAAAATAAGTTTATTATACTATAAGTATATTATACTTAGTATATTTAAGTATAGTATACTAGAAAAAGTAATAGTATAATATAAATATAAATATAATATAAATTTATAGTATAATAAAATTTATATTTAAGTATAGCATACTAGAGAAATTTATAGTATAATAAATATAAATATAATATAAATTTATAATATAATATAGTGTAATAAAATTTATATTTAAGTATAGTATACTAGAGAAATTTATAGTATAGTATATTAGAGAAAATATACTAGAAGTATACTAAATGTATATTTCCTCAGTTTCGAGGCAAAATAGACGATCAGTTTTATTACTTGTTAATAATTTCTATCCAGTTGATATCAAACGGACGAGTTTAAAATGAAAGCGACGAATTATTGCATACGGTTCCGGTCACTCGTTACGGTCCGCAATCAGTTGCCAGCGCGAGTGGTTGAAACTTCGATTGACTGAGAAAGGATTTGAAAATTGAAATATTTTTCGCAGCTCGGACGCAACGTCGTTATCGTCATCGCCGCGAGATAAACTACGAGAATGATGTCAAAGGGAACACTGTAGACCGTGGGACGCTTCCCCAGCGATGATATATAGCCACTGTCTGTGGTAGAATTTGGTTTGGTGCCAAACGGCCATGTACTCGGCGACGACTCCGAGTATTTACTCTCTTCTTATTTCATGTCGAGATTCGGATCGCGGGAGAGGAGACGAATAGGGGCTATAGGCGAAAGAGATGGAGGAGGAAAGGAGGATGAAGGTGCCGGAAACTTCCCGAGTGGATTGTCGGGCTTTAAAAACTCCGAGACGCAAGGCCCTCGTTTGTTTCATCGCCTATGAGCAACTTCCACCTGAGGTGTGAAAATCACCGAGCTACGAAATATCATGCGCGCACGAGGGCATGTATTATATTTCTGAAAACCCTGTGGTCGCGACCAGCTGTAAGAAACTCTCCCCCTGCGAGATCCCAAGGGCTATTTTTCCGGGCTTGGGCATTTTCTTTGACGAAGAAATCGAGGTGTGCACTCGTAGAAAGTACGGCAATTGGAAATACACCGGATGACGTTGAAAGAAAGGAGTGTCGCTCGTCTCTCGAAAGAAATTTACCGCGGCCGTGTGATAAATCAGCGGGAACTAGAACTAACCACCAATTCCACGCATTAATCATTGATAAATTTTCTCGGATGTCAAAGCATGTGACAAATGCCGCTTCGTTTATCTTTTCGCGCGTTCCTCTTTCGTCCTCGGCTTCGGTCCGGTCCATAAAACTTATCGATCGCCATTAAGTACAAAACCGTATTTCACCGTTTCGTTGTCGCAACAATACGCAAAGCTGTTAACTTTGGAAAAGTCTGGCGGACCGGGGGACGTCGATGGGAAATCGGTTTGAAATAACTTTCTACAGGGTGGTTATTAACTTCCCCCAGAGAGGTACAAGCGACCTGTTTGAATAATTCCCTCGGATATTAAGCAGGCGTGCGTATTCAGTTCACGTATTCGAGTAAATCACGTTTCAAAAAATTCAGCTTGCACACGTGCATCTCGTGGAAACGATACGACAATGTGGAAATGTAACTTTCTCCTACCATATCCTGGGAACGTAACCGAGTGAAATATTCTTTTCTAGAGCGGAACAATGGAGTGAACTCCGAAAATTAGCAGAAACCCTGCTGCCCCAGTGGCATATTATTCTGGGATATTAAATTAGTCAGAAAAAGGAACAAAGGGATATATTTGCATACGTTTACCTAAGCCGACGTTCAGTTAACGATGAAACAAACGTCTGCTGCGAAGAAATTCTCGAAAATCGATTTGCCTTCTCTCTTTCCAATCGATGGATACCACGATAAAGTTAAATTCGAATATATACGCTGAATAGAAAACGCGTCGCTGTGGTTGAGAACGACGTGCCATTGTGAAAGTTATTCAAAGGGAAGGCGAATATCATTGGTCTGAGACTACGTGGAAGTTGTAACTGTTGGAAGAAGACCGGACAGGCGGTAATAGAACAATAGGAATCGTGAGAGAGCAGAATAGGGCACATTCGAGTATTTGCATCTGAGGTATGCGCTCTAGACTGAATACGGCCAAATAACTGCCCGCTTCTACGAGCTGCACACGTGTGTATTTGTTCGTCTCGAGTCATTCTCTCCCTCTCTCTCCCTCTCTCTCTCTCTCTCTTTGGCCGGAGAATCGGACAACGTTACAACGGAAATGGAAACGAAGTTGCGCCGAATTCGCAATTCGTGAAACTGTGAAACTGCAAACGCCGCGGCGCGCCGAGATCCTCGCGCGACGCAACGATAATTTAGTACAGTTGAACGTTTCGTGCGCCCTAGGTTTCTATCGCTCCTTCAAAGTTCCCCGACTGTATAAATTGTGCACCGTGCATCGACGGAACTAATAATTATAATAGCTGCTTGCCGCTTCTCTGTCGGAGGAAACGTTTCGCCCCTTACGAGGGAGGGAGGAATTTCGCTAAAAATTGGCTAAAAAATAGTGATGGACTCTCGGAAGTTATATATATATATGTATCTACATATATGTGTAGGTCGCAAAACAAACATCGAACATTCGAGGGATGATCCGTCAATTAATCATCGAGGCAAATGTGAAGCACGAGATCAGGCACATTTGAATATCTCGGTCGTACCTGGCTTAATCTACTCCGAACTCGATCGAGTTCAGTCCAACGGGTCGCAGAGAATCTATTCCACCCTGACCCCCCCTCCTTTCGTTCTTGATTTATGCGACGTTCAAAGAAACCGAATGCACAAAGACGTTCTTTGGCGAATTTCTGACACGTTCGTTCGTTCGTTCGTTCGTTCGTGAAGGTACGTTCGGCCAAGGTATTTTCGAGCGGCAGAAAGTTGGAAATAATCTATATCCGCGCGCGAATATTTCGAATATCCTTTTCCTTTGGCGGAGCCAAAAGTCTACCATACGAATTACACGAGGGTGGAAAGTTTCTCGATGGGTATCTCTTGTATCACGGAGAAGTTGAACGAACATTTTCGCGTTTGCCACATTCACGCGCGTCGGGCACGAGCGCCTGTTTTTCCATCGATTCTCCCTCACTCTCTCGGCTCCCGATATTCCCCAAATGGCAGAGGGTGAAGAGTAGAAGCAACCCGAGCGTATTGGGCGAGGAGGGGAGCGAGCGGGGAGACGCTCGGTTGATGTTAACGCTGAGTTATTCAATAGGACGTGAAGAACGTCGGGTACACCGAGTGCCAGACGATTCCCATGGGACTCGTATCGTTTCATCCAGGTTCTCCCCCTCTCCAAGTTTTCCACCGGTGAGCCACGCCGTGAGAGCATTGTGACCCTGGAACTGGTAGTTTGCGAATTTCCCGCAGCGAGAGCAGCGATATCCGTACTTACCGCGCGTTCGAGTTCGCACACACTGGCGGCTGAAACGTGAATTCCCCGCATCTTCAGTCTCTTTCTCTCCCTTTCGCGAGACGAAAATTATAAAGACTGTTACTGTAACGCGGCCACCAACTCTGTCAGCTTTCTCTGGTCGAACCAAGTTAATGCAGAATTTTTCACGAGAATGAGGAAGAATGATCCTCTGCTTTTTAATCCGGTAAAACAATGAGATTTTCTCCTCAACGAGCTCGTTCCTCAAGATCGTTCTTCGCCATCTGGCCGGGCGGGAGGGGTGGAATGTCAGATCGCCGCCGGCGGAGATCCGACGTCGAGGTTTTCCAAGAAATAGACGAACGAGTGGCCTTTGGCGAGCCCACAATGAATGGGGAGGGTGCGTGGGGGCGAGGTAAAGGTCGAAAGGGTCCTTTTTCGAGCTAACTGAGCCCGTATAAATAAGTAATGCGTCGCCAACGTCGTGTCTAGCAC